ACTCGAACGATAAAATTGTTAATTCAGAGATTCGAGTCTCTCACAGAGAGACTGAATGAATAAAACTGAAAAATTGAGAGACTCGAGTCTCTCGTAGAAAGACTGGGATCTCTGAAATATGTTGAACTTAGAAAATTTTAACCATGTCTATCGAGACACCACTTATTGAGAGATTCGAGTCTTTCGTTCAGAGATTCGAGTCTCTTGTTCAGAGACTGGATACGAAATGTGGATCTCTCTAAGAGCGACTCGAGTCTCTCGTTAAGAGACGCTAAACAGTTTTTTTTGACAGTCTCTCGACAGTCTCTCTCAGCGACACCACAGAGACTCGACGAGAGACGGAGATTCGAGTCTCGCTTTCAGAGACTCTGAGAGACTGAACATTTTTATCTCGAGGAAGTCCTTTATGTTTGTATAAACCCACCCAGATAACGCTTTAGCTTCCTTTCTCTCGTCAGTACTTTTGGTGTAACTAAATCAAATATTGCTAAGTTTACTTACTTTAGTTGTTACTGTAAATGGTGTGAAGATGGATATGGGTCGACGATATCTTATGCTGCAAGCAGATTGAACCACTGTTCCTTTCCCGTCCACAATTTTCTTATAAAGACCAGTACGATCATAAAAATGGAATCTTGCAAAGTCTAATTCTCTTACATACCGGGCATTATTCATGTGTAAGAACATGATGTCCAAGTCATTCGTAAAACAATATCCTTAAAATAAAAAAGGAAGATGTAGGCGATATCTTGTTTGCAATTTCAAGCAATTTTGCTAAAATGGATCGCTATATTTGGACTAGCGTTGTCACTGCAACGCAGAGGACCTAAAAAAATCGGGAACGACTTCCATATTTACAATAATATTATGTGGTATTTATACAAATAAGTCCTACCTTTTGCTTTAAAATATTGAAGCAATTCCTTCAACGTATATGCATAAAAAAAAACAAAGGAAAAGGTTTTGCTTCGAGGGTTTGCATTAAAGTAAAAGGTTTTACATAATTTGTATTTACTAAAAGAAGGATCTGTGCAAAAATTAAAGGATTTGCTTCTAAAAACAACGAATCTAGCTTCACAACAACTTTTCTCACCCTTTCCAACTTTTAATAGCTGCCCAGGCATCAGACAGCTTGTAACGTAATAATTTATGTATTTCTAGAACTGTTTTTGTGTTAAAATCTATCTAAAAGGACTTGTATAAGTAATCTTTAGTTGTGTGGTCCCAGTGTTGTCCTTGTTATGACTGATATGGTGCATTTACGTACAAGAAAATACTACAAACCAAGACGTACACTACGAGAATCAGATTCTAAAACGTTATTTATATTTGAGGAGGAGAATGTCGTGTGGTTAAGGACCACTTTCTTGACGCATATCCCGAAACATGTGGAGCAGCCGTGGGTAATGGAAAATATTTCTGCGTTATAGTGCGAACCATTTTAAATTTGCTAACTTTCAACACTGCACAAGTAAATCAGAAATGTATTAAACAAATAAAATAAACAGCTGTCACACACACACGTTAATTGTACAATGCAAATTTCAACTAGTTTGTCAAAATCATTTATTTTATCAATCCGAAGCATTTCCTTGCAAGGAAAAGGTATAAATAGATTATGAATACGAATTGTAGCAAAGTTGAAAGTAAATGCTTTAATAGTATAAATACGACCTATTGTCTAGCAGTGCAATAAATAGTAATAGTTCTGAGGATCACTAAAAGTGGTAAAAACGGTTACACCAATCTGCGTAAAAACCACATCACTAAACCTATAGCCAACTGATCTTATATGTAGGTTGGGTTAAGTTAAGGTAGCTTAAATATTTACCGCTTCCCCCACCCCCTCTATTTTTCGTCTACTTGAAAGTTTTCCTAGCCAAAGCGCGCAATAGTAGGAGGTAGATAAATCGTGGACGAGCTGGTACCCTAGTAAGGGGGAATTGTCATCTGCTCGCATGATGGAAATTGTTAAAGGGAACCAAATATTTTTACGGATGTATATTAGAAAATAATATAAATATTAAAATAATTATGTGTGTTACCAAAATAAATCCACAAGACCCATTTAGGAGCTTATTTTAAATAATGTATTTGGAATTAGGTAGGTAGGTATTGTTTGTTACAATTGCTATTGTCTTCAAACAAAAATTAATTTTATACACCACCATTGTTATTCCTACTCGAAAATAAATTTCAATGCCATTTCCAAAAAATGAATGAAGTTAACGCTAAACTTGCTTATTTTAAATAGTGTGAAGACGCTCAAGTATACTTTGCTACATACATACCTACGAAAACCAGAATCAACTATTTATTAATCATCTACTCATTAAACGAAAAACAAATTAAAAGTTAACAATAGCACCCATACCGGTTTTGATAACAGAGCCAAGAAAACAAGGACATGTCATAATTCTGTAAAATGATTGTTATTTGTTAAACTTTTATTTCAATGAAAAGTATCATTTATAGTGAGTGTTCTTATAAACTTCAAATATTATTTCTTAAATAGCTTTGCATTCTTGATTTGCGAACTAAAAATTCAAAGTGATTTATTTTTAAATTTTTAAATAATTATTTACCATTATTACTAGTAAAGGATCTTACCCCTCTTTCACTTACCATAAATACAGGTGGTATCGCTGATCCTTATATCCCTTTCAAATATCCTGCCGTAGACTATGTGAATAATGGTTCGTACGAAATAACCAACATCAAAAAAGATATATAAAAATGAGGTAATAACTGCCGCTATAATAGCCCATATTAACAACAAATCGACGTCAAACTCAAATTTCAGCATATTTTTATAGTTTATGGAATCGATAAGTATCAAAGTAAAATTTTGTTTGCGCGATACTACCAAAGGTCAATGGTGTTGTGTGAGGCCGCTATACCTACGGTTATTTGCCGGTTTGTTTAAGAAGTGGGGGGCATATTAATAAAACATTGGTCTTCAACATACGTGGAAACTTGACATACTTTTCAATTTTCAATAAACCCAAAAACATACATATAACAGGTTGCATTCTTCTTCAATACTTGTCAGTAAAGAACAGAGCTGGACTAAAGCTTTATTTTTTTGTTAAATTAATCTTAAATATTAAATTTTCCCATAAAGATATTTTAGACTTTCAACAGAATCTTTTTTTTATTACTTTATTACGTTAAAGGACGCATCTTTTTTTGACGAAAACCAAAACTTCAACCTTTCAATTAAACAGAAATTGTTAGTTGAGAACTAAAAATTTTTGTCGTATGGAACAATAATCTTTATTTTAAATTTCTTTCAATACGTTCCTGATAATACACAACGGTACTTGTTCTCTTGATGAAAGTTTGCATGAAGTCTTCAACATATAAAATGTACATGAGTTGACATTACTTCGGAAGTAAAAGAAGTTTCTAAATTAAACACCTTTTCCGTAATTACTTGGAAATAATTACTTTTTCTCATTTTTTTTTTATTAAATCATTTCTAATTACGTTAATTACAACAGCGAAACAGTAGATGTTACTAATTAAATGTGATTAACACTTGTATTTCAACTTATTATAATGAAAATTCCCTATCTTTAACATAAAGGAAAATGCTCGGTTTCTTGGATTTAATTATAGAGTTTTCACTATATCTATATTTAAATAAGCCAACTAATAAGGTCACTATTTAAAAAAAAACATGTTTCTAGAAAAATAACATACTTTTTTATAGCCTTTAGATTTTGGCAGCTACTAACTGTATAATATCATCCCCTTTGTCATTAGTTGACAAATAAATATTCGGATAGGCGGATGATGAGGATATCGTGGGTAGAAAAGGTTAGAAATGAAGAGGTATTGGAAAGAATAGGAGAACAGAGGACTCTAAGGAAGTCAATAAAAAATAAGCGAGATAGGTTGGTAGGACACCTTCTTAGGCATGAAGGTCTAGTCAGAGACATATTAGAGGCAGAAACAGGAGTTAGG